AGCAGCAGCATCAGAGGGAGCAGCATTGTTGGGCGATAGCGTGAGCTCCGCTGCCTCCTACGAAGATGCTGCCTGCCACTGCCACCAGCGATCGGGTGGAAAGGAAAGCCCCCACACCATTCGCTCTGTGCATAATCATTGTGTGTGCGCGCGCACATTTCCAATTGATTTTCCATGTGACGCAGCACAATTGGAGTTTCAGTTGCAGTCTTTTGAATATGGCGCTCACGGATCAGTCACGATCGTCCAAAGACCCAAAGAGTCTCCACCAGCCAACAGCAACAGCAACAGCACAGCCCCTGCCACTGCAATGCTGTCCAACTGGTTTCCCACACGCATACGATACGTGTGTTTGTCGAGTGGAGTATGGAGTGCCTGAAGTGCACCTTAAATTGTGTTTCATTATTATGATTTTAATGCCAGATTGTCTTAAGTGGAAGCATCGAATCGGCAGTCCAGTCCACTCCACTACAGTCGTACTTCTCTAACTGGAACTAACTTTGAGATATAAATTATATGGAGACTGTCCGTTGAAGACAGTTGTAAGAAATACTAATTCTATCTCATTGAAATGACATGTTCAACCTCCCACAATAGGAATTGCAATAGAAACTAGCTTTTAGAAGCTGTTTTTTTTTTTGTTGGAAAAAAACCCCGAACCGTATAGAAACGTGACAATCTAATGATATGTGCCAGACGAAGCACGTTATTATTTTTACATAAAAGCATTATATCAAGTGTAAAGTTAAGGAAGTGCCTTGTTTGATTAATGGAGAAATGTATGCAAAGGCTATTGCTAAGTCTGGTTTCATATGACATTGGACATTGCCTTAGCTTTATCAGCTTAAATGCTTTCTTTCGAGACCAAACGGTCTTATGACCGACAGTTTAGTAAGAATTCCCGATCCTGGCGTTTCCCACTCGTATACTTGCTGCAGAAGGAAGGACGAGTGGGAGACTAGAAACAGCTAGTCTTTTGCAAGCTATAACACGATTTTGTTCCAACTGCTCCTATTACCCTTATTTCCCCGAGATCTATTCTTAGACAACCGACGCAGGAATGTAAAACCAAATACATGTCCTGATCATGACGCTCGAAACATTGATAAACGTAGACTGCGCCCGAGGCTAGCTCGGTCCCGTGAATGGGAAAACAAAATCCATGTCGTACAAACCGAGGCATATTATTGATGTTAGACTCAGGGTAATAGCCGATAAGGAACTGCCCCCAAATTCAAAAGACCTGCCCACTGTTGATCTATAGGTTCCACTGTAAGTAGTGCCCCTCCCCCCCGAGCCAAGAGTCGCCGGAGAACGCCATTGAACATTGGCAGTCATTTGCTGGCTGCCCGTCGTCGCCTTCGATGCCGATCCGATGTCGATGTCGATGCCGCATTGGGAAAGAAAAAACTGGTGCAAATGAAACAAGTTATCTAATTGCAGTGCTTCGAAGTGTGGCAAGTGGCGAGTTGACTTTTGTTTTCTATTCGGAGCAGGCCTCCGATCTGTTGCGGCTCCTCCAACTCCGCCTCCTTCGCCTCCGATGCGGCTGCAACACGTTGTGCATACGAAATGGCTTGGCTAACCCAACACTGCACACAAAGATATCCACAGACAGATACACACACACTCTCGATACTGGTGTGGAACAGGCTCTTGCCGCATTGGCCTCTTGGCGTTTTTAATCGCACCAAATTTCAATTTGAATTTCACTTTCTTTTTCGATACGCTCACTTGGGTTTTTGCCTTTCGAACTTTTGTCTTGTGTTGTGTTTCGTTTCTGTTTCTTAAGTTTTGTGGCTTTTGTGTATTTCATTTCTTTTTGTTTTCGAATGCAGGCAAAGCAACGACCATGAAAAATTGTGTGAGATAGAAAGGGCTTTCTTGAGAAGCAGCAGGGAGAAGGCACTTCCAAACACGACATGGCGTGACATCAGGCTCTCTCGGCTCAGCGCTGCATATTGAACCATTTGGGGAGCTCCACTTCGTTTGAGTCTGATTTGCGGGTCTGAAGCCTCCTCCTATCTGAAACCGTGTCAAGAGAGAGTAAATATAATTGATATGCGGCCATTAGGCAATAAATAATCTCGATTGGGGGCGCACAAAAGAGCGGTCAAAGGATGGGAAGACTTACTCCCATCCAACGAAATCTAACAGGAGGTTAAGAGAACGGAAGGGTAAAAGCCACAGATTAAGATCAAGAAAAATGGAGAAAGGTCTTCCCATAGGATGCAAGAAGATTCAAAGTCGTGGTGGTGATAGAAGTGGAGAAAAGTGACTTGCAGGAGGCATTCTTGCATTAATGGAAGGCAAACGAAAAAAAAAAAACAATATAATTGATCTGTTTTGCATAGATCTCTTAATCTCTCCTCTTCGTCTAGTGTCTTGAAGAATCAAACTCTTACTTAATTATATTTATACATATATCTTATGGATAAACTATTCTTTGTACGGAGGTCTCTATATCAACGTCTATTACAATTTGGTTTTCGAATGGTTCTTGGGCTTCCATTCGATTAATACTTTAGCTGTCGGATAGTATTCTCATCAGATAAAGATCATATCCCCTTATATCATATAGTTTTGATGAGGCGAAAAAAGCGTCCTTGTAGGAGATACTTTCAGTTTCACAACAATTAGGTTTTCATTAGGGTGTAGTGTGCTTTCTAGGTAATATTTCCTATTATGTAGTTTCAGTCGTATATTAAAGAGATTCATTTTCCATAGAACCCCACAACTATATAACCACAAAACTATTGTTAATGGCTCTATAATTGGTCATTGTTTAGTGTGGGATTTGTATAATCAAAGGCTTTATTTAATATGTCTGCTAGACTGTACTGTTATGTTCAATGGAGTCTTTTGTCTGTGAAACATTCGTCTGTCTTTGAGTGGATACTACAACTTTCCTCCAAAAATATGGTTCCATGGCACGCTTCGCTGGTTGAACAAATTTGTTTTAAAATTTCGTCTAAAAGTGTTTTTTTTTTCGGCACCCCGTTACCCCGTGACTCGCTGCTTTCCATATGTCTCGTTTGTGTGCGTGTGTGTTTGTGTTTGTGCGTCGTGTCGTGTGGGGCAATCAGTCATAAATTTGGTGAAATTATTTACCCATTCATCCCCCACCCACACCTGTTGGGTGCCGTTTAGGTGCCATCTCTAGGCTCCAAGCGAATGCGCGGGCGCACGCGTCCAGTAAAAGTTCCATAATTTACCATACCCCCCCACACACCATACGTACATATATATCCACCACTCACTCTTTTCCTATCCCAACAACAACAAAAAACACAGCAGCAGCAGAACCTATACTGCCACTTGGGGATACTCGTACTTGTGCATCACAAAATAGTTGGCATTGAGATTTGAGTTCTCGAAACGTGTGATTGTGATTCTACAATAATCTTTTGAAAAATTTTAAATCAGTTTTCGATTGCAATCCAACCACCCAACACACACAAGCAATACTGCAAAAACACTAGCCTACACCGTCAGTCGTATAAAGAAGAGAGCTACCGTTATTGCTGCCCTGCTCCTCTCTTCTCGAATATCCTGTTTTGCTTTTCGCATTTTTTCGGTGACGCATTTGCGTGCTGCGTAATTTCTGTTGTGTTTTGCTTGCAATTTCAATTTAAATTCCAATCAAATAATATAATTGTTTGCATTATTAATGTACAGAGCCCCTAGTTTTGCAATTAAAATGCCATCAAAATTATGTTAATGTAGTCATTAAAGGGGCAAAAAAATATAAGCAAAAACTAAAACAGCACAACCAAAATACAAGTCCCAGACCCCCAAACAGTAAATAAATGCTAAAACAGCAAGCGGCAACATACATATATATTATGAAAAAAAAATCACAAAATTTATTAAAAAGTGAAAGTTTTTAGTCGTCGTTGGAGTTGTGCACAAACAAAATTACCAGAGAGGGAAAAAGAAATGCAAAAACAATCATCGACTCTTGGAAACAAACCAAAAAAAAAACAACAACAACAAAAGCAGCAGCAGCAACAGCAACAGAAGCAGAAGCAGCGCAGCAACAAGCTCCAGCCTGCCAGGTCGTGAGAGGAGTCCAAGAGAGTTTTGTGTAAAGCAGCCGAGACCAGGTCGTGAGAGGCGCCCAGAGAGTGCGCCTAGACAGCAGGTCGCGAGAGAAGCCCAGAGAGTGCAAGCAGGCAGGTCGCGCGGGAGAGAGGGCCCGCGCCTAGCAACTGAGCGAACGCGTTCCACACATAACGGAGCATAACTGGTCATAATAGAACCGCCAAACAGCAGCAGCCGCAGCAGCAGCAAGCAACAGTAACGACAAAACAAAACAAATATTTTTTCGCCGTCCCCGTCTTTTCAAAATGCTGTAAGAAGGAATAGACGCCACGGATAAAAACAGAAGAAATGGGGGCGGTGTGGCGCGGAGATCTTTCGCGCCCCCGCAACCGCGCCAGGTTCTCTATCATCCGATGGCCCAGGCATCCCATGTTACCGCCAATTGGAGAAATCCAGGTAACACCTGTAAGTGCACTTCTCTCTCTCTCTCTTTTGGTCACTCTCGCGCTCACCTTTTATACATATGCAAAAAGGCCAAAAAGAACCAAAGGCGGAAGCAATTTGATTGCCTGTGCATGTCACTTTCACCGTTTGTAATCTCGTTGTGTGTCTGGGGGTGGGGGGGAGAGGTTGGGAAAGAATGAAGATCAAGGTATATAAATATAAGGTGAGGCATTCCTAGACTGCACTAGGGGACTAGGCATCTCTCGAGAGCGGGAATGAGTCACCTGTGTGAATGTTTCACCTCCTGGAAATGGACCCTGGTAGAAGTGTGTCATCCGGGGAGGGCAGCTTTGCGTGCGTGTGTGTGTATGTAAATGTGCGGTGTTGGGTGCATGTTATTCATGCATGTGCATATGTGTGTACATATGCTTGGGTGCTAGCTTCGTAATCGAAAGAGAGTCTTTGCATTTCACTCACCAAATAACAATACCTTCATCTCTGTCCCTTTGCAGTTACCGTGAATCCACCACCCCAGAGGCCGTGGCTGCCCCTGGCCAAGCCGAACAAAACGCGTCCAGCCTGTAAGTCATAGTCCTAAGCCTTTCCAGCAATTATCCAGACCATCAATGGTATATCTACTCGTTCATGTGTGACCTATATACATACATATATGAGTGCCTGGATCTTCCAGTTGGCGGTTGTTGGGGAGCAGAAACCTTTGGTAACCATGTATCCAATGTATCGAAAAATGTGTCAGCGTTTATTTATTCCTGGTATACCTTCAACAAGTAGTCCGTTGCTTCGATGTGGAATCTTTACTAAGGATGCATTTAACATTACCTTTACCCGATTCGATGATATATATATTAATTGATATTTTTCCCTCCCGTTTTTGGCAGGCATTTTCACGGTTATGTGCTACAATGTGCTCTGCGATAAATATGCGACACGGCAAATGTACGGCTACTGTCCATCGTGGGCCCTGTGCTGGGATTATCGAAAAAAGTCAATCATCGACGAGATCCGTCACTATTCGGCGGATATTATAAGCCTGCAGGAGATAGAAACGGAGCAGTTCTATCACTTCTTTTTGCCAGAGCTCAAGAACGATGGCTACGAGGGCATATTCTCGCCCAAGTCGCGTGCCAAGACAATGTCCGAGGTGGAGCGGAAGTATGTCGATGGGTGTGCAATCTTCTTCAGGGCCTCAAAGTGAGTATTGGCTAAAGAGAATGGAATGATTGGAAGAGGCTAAAGTATGATTCGCTTGCAGATTCACCTTGATCAAGGAGCACTTGATCGAATTTAACCAGCTGGCGATGGCCAATGCAGAGGGATCGGATAACATGCTGAACCGTGTGATGCCCAAGGACAACATTGGTCTGGCCGCTCTGCTCAAGGTGAAGGAGAATGCCTGGGAGCCGATGTCCGAGGTGACACAGATCTCACAGCCGCTGCTCGTCTGCACGGCGCACATCCACTGGGATCCGGAATTTTGTGATGTCAAGCTCATCCAGACGATGATGCTCAGCAATGAGCTCAAGACGATAATTGACGAGGCCTCGCACAGCTTCAGACCGGGACACAAGAACGACTCGAACAGTGTTCAGCTACTGCTCTGCGGCGACTTCAATTCGCTACCCGACTCCGGGGTGGTTGAGTATCTGGGCAAGGGACGGGTCTCCATGGACCATCTGGACTTTAAGGACATGGGCTACAAGTCGTGCCTGCAGCGCCTGCTTTCGAACGACACCAACGAGTTCACGCATTCCTTCAAACTGGCCTCCGCGTACAGCGAAGATATCATGCCGCACACTAACTACACGTTCGATTTCAAAGGCATCATCGACTACATATTCTATACGAAGACGGGAATGGTGCCTCTGGGTCTGCTTGGGCCCGTCTCAAATGATTGGCTGCGCGAGAACAAGGTGGTGGGATGTCCCCATCCGCACATACCCTCCGATCATTTTCCGCTGCTCGTTGAACTGGAGTTGATGCACACGGCCAGCCAGGCGCCTCCCAACGGGCTGATCAACAGACGGTAGCAATAGAATAGACGCGGCAGACCCACCATGATGACAACGACAACTACACGGACAGCAGCCACAGTCGGAGGAGTAGCAAGTGGGAGCAGTGGTAGTGGTGGTGGTGTCGCCGGCGTCGTCAACAGCAACAGTGCGGTAAATAATATCCACGGCAGCAGTTACAGGGGACGCAGCAACAGTGGCAGCGGCAGCCACAGCCACAGTCACAGTCACAGCCACAGCCATCGCATAGTGGCACAAAGAAAGGTACCTCCTGTAACAGCAGCCGCACCAACTGACAAGCAGCCACCACCGCCATGAAGAGAGACAACCAATCCGCGATCACCTGCCGCACCCACAATTGACGTGGCGCTCTGTCCGCAACAAGATTCAGTTTTAGTTATGTACGTTAAAAAGATTAGATAACCCCATACCCATACCCAAGCCCCGATCATCCGATCGCAAAAACCCAATAAGTTATAAGTTGACGACGTTGTAGAGGCCTCGCTCCTTTGTGCGCTGGTTCGCAAAGCGCGTTACCAATGCAATACAAAAAAAAGAAAACAAAAAAATCAAAGTATGATAGTAGCTCGTAATTGGAGGAATTTAACTTACTTGCTGATAATCTTCTGACAACCGCGCCCCGCCCTCGCCTTTCTTTTTTGGTTTTATCACATTCACACACACACACACACACACACACACACACACACATACACATACACATACACATACACATACACAAACACATTTTTCCCATCGAATAAATTACATTTAAAGTTATGATCGATCTGTGTACATTGTTTAGTTCTTGTAACACCCGAAAAACCGAGCATAAATGTAAGCCAAATGTTTCATTTAACAGTCGTAGATCGTAAGAGAAAAAGAGAGAGAGAGAGAGAGAGAGCTAAACACAAACAAAAATAGCAAAAACAAACCTAAACTATAAGTAAAAGGTAAAAAAAAAAAAACATAAAATATTGTAAAAAATTAAACAAGAAGGAAAATATGCAGAATTAATTAATGGACCGTTTTTTGACAAAAGGTTTTAACCAAACGGAAGAATAATCAAAATGGGAAAAATGGACAAAGTAAACCCTACTATATAGAGATACAAGATATGCAAGATTATGTGTATAGATATACTTATTGGGCCATCCCACAACCAAGAAACCCAATTCCTCAATGTGTATTGAATGTAGAAACAAAACAGCGATCCCGAGCATACCTCTACTTTTTGTGTGTGTTTGCTTAAACGTCCACATATTGTAGACCTGAAGAGAGCTGGTAGCTACTTTTAAGTAGATATATGTACATACAATACTATAACGTTAATCCATAAGTGTCGTGTGTGGTATGGGATAAATGTCTACCTATAGAATCAATCAATCAACCAAGCCCCATCTCCATAAGTACCACTACCTACCATAAACAATGTAAAATTCAAGCATTCAACAACAATTCAATATCAAAGTTTCAACAAATAATATAACTATATGTAAATCTGATTGATACGAGGCGCACATGGGCAGGCCATCTTCATTCAGAGAAACCCCGCCCCCTCATGCGTACATACATACGAATAAAACCAAGAATCAAATGTATAACGAACTTTGTTTTATTTTGTAGAACTAACTACGATAGGAAATGCATCGCCTATGGCATTGGTTTCCTCCAAACGTTCGGCTATCGCGGACCACAGCTCCGAGTTGCCCTGCTGCAGTGTCTCCATGTTCCCGATCATGTACAGCGCCCAGCGTGCTCGGGAAAGAGCTACACAAGCACGATTCGGCTTAGCCAGAAACCCTATATGGCCGGTCGGATTGCTGCGCACCAGCGAGAGCAGCACAATGTTCGCCTCCAGACCCTGGAAACTATCCACGCTCGACACTTGCACCCTGTTTGGGCCTATTTTATATTTCATCGGGAGCTTCAAAATAATGAGTAAGGATTAGAAAAAAGTTAAGGGCGAGGTCCCTTTACGAACCGATTTCTTGATGCGTTCCACTTGGGCATTGTAGGGTGAGAGTATCACGATATCACTGGCCTCGTATTTGGCATGTTCCAGAAGGAATTCCGTCAGCTTAGCCAGCTCCTTGGCCTCGTGCAGATTCTCAAAGGACATATCCAGCTGCAATTTCTCCGGTTGATTGTGCTGCAAAAAGAACAAGTTCTTGTCCATGAGGCGGATGTCCTCGTATGCCATCACAGAGTCCGCGCACAGTAGCTCCTCATAGATACTGGGCACCAGAAGGCTGGAAATGCACGGACGCATTCGGTACTGGACATTGAGCAAAGAGTAGGGCAGGCCCTGAGCGATGAGGCGTTCAAAGAGAGAGACTTGCGGTAGCTGGCTGCAGCCAGTGAAGGGCTGAAGTTGCTTGTGATCTCCCACGAGGATAACATGCTCCGTATGGGGCGTGAGGCAGGCTAATATGTGTGCCTCCTGAATTTCGGCTGCCTCCTCGAAGATAAAACACTTGGATTTCAGCAGACGAAACAGAAAGTTCAAGCGAGCCGCGCACGTGGTGGTCATGGCCAGCAGATCTTTGTCCCGGGCCAAATAATACTGAAAGATGATGCGTACGGTGTCCAGTTTCTCTGACACCTGCTGCAACTGCTCCTGTCCGATCAGAGTCTCCTGATAGCTCTTCTCGCTGCCATCAAAGTTGGCATACAGCGTTTGAAGGCGCTGGAACTGTTCCTTGTATTCAGTGTTGACCAGCCACCACACGCGCTTCAGTAGGGGCGGCACCAGATCCGGATCAAGCAATTGATTGGCATTGAATTTGGCTATTTCTGGATCGCGCGTCTGGCAACCGAAGCGCAGTATTTCCTTTGTGTATTTGGATGCCTTTACCAGAAACTTGTCCAACGAATCGTTCGTGTAGGTCAGTACAATGATGGGTCCAGTGCACAGCACTTTGGCGTTTTGTATAAGACTGTTCACCAGCTCCACAGAAACGTGCGTTTTGCCTGTGCCAGGCGGGCCTTGTATAATGCAAAACTCGTTAGTGTAGGCCGATTTAAATGCACCCATCTGCCTGTCATTTAAAGGCAAATCCTGCGGTGGCAGTGCCGGCCTAAACGGTTTTCGATTATACGTGAGCTGAACATTAGGTTTAATGTAAGCTGGCGGCCGTATATCAATCTGCAAGTACATATATATCTTTAAGTTGAGAATATTCTTTCGTATATTTGCCACTTGCCTGTCCATCCACAATGTAGCGACGCATTGGAATCTCTGTGCTGCAAGTGCTCAAGTAATTATGCACCCGAACATAAGGCTCAAAGAACACGGGCGTCTGAAACATGATCAGCGGTCGCTCGTAGATATTGCCAATATTATGTTGTCTTACAATCTCCACACTCAGCTGGGGATTACACATATGATTAGATCTAATATGGGAACAACATTCTGTTATCACTTACAAGGCCATCTTTCAGCTTGTCCGGCATTGTGTAGCCAACGGTGCACAGAATGAGGTTCTCAAAGTCCAAGCTTGTGGTCAGGCACAGCAAAGCACCCGTTTTGAAGTTCTCCATCAATTTTTTATTAATCTTTATCTTCTTTGAGTCGGCTGCAGGACATAAATTAAGGAAAACCAGGCTGTGGCGTTGCGCCTCCACAAATTCCGGATTCAAACTAAGTTGTGTGCTTCGCCAGAGTAGACCCTGCTCCTCCAGACCATCAAGATTGCATCCTGCTCGTAGAAACTGAACGAATTCCTCTAAAGGAACGAAGAAATCCTGCTGCAGTATGTGACGCTGTGTTCTTAGATAGTCCGCCACTTTACTCAACGCAGATGGTGCAGGTGAATTGGTTGGTTCCACGTTACCCAGCAGCAGCCTGTCTACCGTTGGATAGATTTCGCCCTTAACGTTGACCATGGCTGGCAGTGCGGCTGTAAACACCTCTAGCTCTTGACTCAAGTCGGTGGCTAGCAGCTGGGGCAGCTTGCTTTCTGAGATCAGCTTCTTGCAGATTCCCACCAATTCATAGCCCTGTTGTCCAAGAACTCCGATCTTTTTTGCTCGTACCATCAGCCATATCATGTTCTTAAAAATCTGCTCAGATTCTGCATCGCATTTGCTGTGCGAAGCGTTTGCAGAGAGCGCCAGGGCAAAACGGCGGAACGAATTGAAGATGACCGTCTGCTTGGAGAAGGCGGACAAGAACTGGTCATCAAATCCGCCCAGCTCCAGCTGACAGATCGATTTGAGAGCTTCCAAAAGTATGGACAGACGCTTCACGCTATCATTGCCGGCAAGTTGAGCCCCAAACAAATCGCGGTCGTCCGACATGAAATAGAGAAACATATCCACGGGCAACATTTTCAGAGCCTTGGAGAGTTCAATTGTTGCAAAACGACCCGGCGCCTTTGTAAAGGTCAAGTCCAGGTCGAGATGTTTCAAACCGTCTGCCACTGAAAGAGGCCGCCACAAATAGCAAATCGTTCAACTAAGGGACTTTCCCCTTAAGGGGTTCGCTTACCCACGGCGTCGCGGCAAAATATTTGCTCCTCCTCCTCTTTCTGCTCATCCTGGTGCTTCACCTGATGCTGGAAGCTCTGCTCAATCTCATCGTCATCCTTTGTAAACCAGTCATCATCTTCGGACCCGGACATATTTTCATTAATTTCGTCCAATAGTTTCGGAGTGAAGAACAATAGACGGCTCTATCGATACGTCGATGTATTCCAATGTGCACATATCGGAACCATTAACACTCTATGTATATAATGAGAATATGATTTAGTTTATTGTTGGGTAAACACTAATCTAGTTTGGCTTCGTAGGTTATCTGGTGTCAGCGCAGTAGTAGAGAAACGATTCATACTCTGATATGCTATATGATGATGCTGGACAGCGCCGATAGTTTTCACTATGGATTGTGGAAACCACCGATAAAAAGTATTAAACAACAAAAGGACCGATTTTGAATGGTTTTTTTCGCAGAGTTCTCATGGAAACATATGCCCAAGACAGGACACCAACACATACTTACATGCTGTATACACAAGAGCCATACTTTCTTTTATTAACCGATTAATTATATGCTTGAAAATCAGGATATGGTTTCCAGTCCTTGACGGAAAACGTCCAAGACCAAGGTGTTACTTTAATATTCCACCGGGAATAGTGAAAATTTAATCATTTTAGCGCATTTCAGGTTCAAGATATCATGGTTTTCTTAAGTAAAGAGGAAGGAAAGGATGGATCTACGAGAAGAACTTACAAACCCAATTATTTTCCGTGATTTACCTCAAGTTGTTAAATGGAGGGGGCTTAAGTGGATTAAGTGTTTTCAAGCATCTTGTGTTGCGGAATTTTAGCAATTTCGTTTATCATCGCAATTCTACGGAATTCTGCATAAGCATTTATTTCCTACGCCGAACCCCCGGGTCTAGATTGCAAACATCCAAGTAAGAGCAGATCAATATGTTAGAGTATGCTGGTGTTTACTTTCAGTTCGCCCGCGCTTTTTGTTTTTAGGGATACATAGATTATATATCCGAAAACATGGAATACAAACGTAAAATGCGTAGAAAATTGTCGTCGGAATCGGATGAAGACACTTCTTCCTCGGAGCCGACAAATAAAAAGAGGAAGAATGCCACAGTCCCAGAAGACTACATGGACATTGTTGAGCAGGACCCAAACAGTCTTCTGGTACCAGGCAACAACAATACCGGTAGCAGCCGAGAGTCGTCAGGCTCACGCAGATCCCAGGGATCATCTTCATCTTTAACTCTTTTGGTGAGTTTAGTTCAGATTTAGCTGGTTAAGTGATTAGATAGTGTGTGATATACCTGTGTTTCATCGCATTTCAGTACGAACCAGACGTTCCAAGTGAATTTAATCGCTGCGGCAAAGTCATATCAATACATCTGGAGAATTTCATGTGCCATGAGAGTTTCACCGTCGAGTTTGGTCCCAACACCAATTTCCTGGTGGGCAAAAACGGGAGCGGCAAGAGTGCCACGCTCACAGCCCTGACCGTGGGTATGGGAGGCAACGCACGCGCCACTAGCCGTGCGGCCAGCATAACGAGTACGTCTCTACACCCTCTATAAGCCTTCCCAGCTGATTTATCCATTAATTGTTGTTTTCAGAGCTAATCAAAAACGGCGAAACATCAGCCAAAATCGAAATAACCTTGTGTAATGTGGGATTGAGCCCATTCGATGCGGAACATATGGGACCGCATATCACGGTGGTGCGGCACATACGCCAATCATCCTCGTCGTATGAGCTAAAGGATGCACGCGGTAAAATCGTCTCGAAAAAATTAGATGATGTTAAGCGCTTGCTGCGGCGCTTTCGAATTCATGTCGATAATCCCATTTTCGTGCTAAACCAGGAGGCTTCACGTGAATTTCTAAAAAAGTAAGTTTAATCCATAAGTTAAACGAGGTTTGTAGCTGAATACTTTGCAGACTGGAGCCAAAATCAAATTACACACTTCTGATGAAAGCAACGCAGCTGGATTCTTGTGTTAATGCTCTCAACGAATGCCTTGTCCAACGTCAAAGCCTACATAGAGCCTTGGAGCATCTTGAATTGGTAATCGAAATCGAATCTTACAGGTATATTTAGTTTCCTTTAATTCAAATGCGTTTCCCACATCCACAGAGAAAGCAAGTATCGGAACAACTGGTCGTGGCGGAGGAGGAAAAGTTAGCCACACTCAGGGATAAGGAAGCGGTCATGGCAAGTAGTCGGTGCCGACTAGATGGGGATCTTTTAGTAACAATTGCTATGAACTTGCAGGTCAAGTTACAAGAGGCCAACACCAAGCTGGCTTGGCTGTCGGTGGGGCAACAAGAGGAGGAGCTTGCCAGCTGTGAGCAGTCGATTAAACTGATTGAAGCCAAGAAATCCAAGCTGGAGGCAGCCACGATCCAGAAGGACTCCACACAAGCCACACTCACGCAACAGTTGAGGTTTGTTGAGGCCACATAATCACAATAAAAATCCCTAGCATTCTTCATGTGCCATGTTTTGTTCTCAGCACCTTCGAGGAAAAAAAAAAGCGTAACCAAGATGTCTACCAATCGCACGAGACAAAGATGCGTGAAGCCATGCGCATATTGCAGGAATATCTTTTAAAAGCCAGCAATATCAGGTCACAAATGAAGAATGCCGAAAAACGCCTTAGTGAGGAGAAGCACGAATACGATGCTTGTGAAAAACACATCAGCAACTACCACGCCGACTATGCGAGGATTAAACAGAAGCGAGAGGAGCATGCCGCCAGAGCGGTGGAGCTGAAGAAGCTGGTCGCCGATAGAGAGGACCTCGTTAAACAGTTCCGAGAGGAGCAACTGGAGACAAAAGAACGGCTGAGCTCTGTGCGCGAGCAGGTGGATGCCCGAGGATTCGAGAGGAACAAAATGTACCAATCCACGCGTGAGTTTCGACATTATTTTTCAGCTTAAGCAAATTCTAATTCTTTCTTTTTTTTGTGCAGAAAAAATTAAATCGGAAATTGAGACGCTTGGTCGCAACAAAAACAACAATTTGTCCATATACGGGGAGCAGGCAATTAATGTAGTTTGTGCCCTGCGCTCCAAGTATAGCGGCCCGAACCAGTACCGAATGCCACGTGGTCCTCTTGGCCAATACATAACAGCATCTAATCCTAAGTACAGGGATCTGGTCGAGAACCAGCTGTCCTCTTGCCTACGTTCCTACATCGTAAGCTCCGACAAGGAGCGTCAATCGTTGAGATCCTTGCTCCAGAGGTTCTATGGAAACAATATGCCCACCATCATTACCAGCGCATTCACAGATCGCGTGTACAATGTGTCGAAATACAAAGTTAAGGCCACTACACCTAACACCACAGTACTGATCGATGAAATTAGGTAAGGCTCAATCTCTAATAAAAATCGAAGTATATCTCGTCTATATACCAATGTACTGTACTCTCTTCCCTATCGAATTTATAGCTGCGATGATCCGGTTGTAATGAACTACCTAATAGATTCAATGCGTATCGAGACGGTGCTGGTAACCGAGTCCAAAGAGACCGCCGAATTTCTCACATCCGACACGGAGAACGTTCCACCCTACTTGACGCGTGTGCTGGTGCCAAACCTGGGGCTGGAGTACATACCATCGCCCAACTATGCAGTCTATTCGGTTCGTATATACCCGGGACGATACATGCAGGTGAATGTGGACGATCGCATCAGGCAGCTGCAGGATGAGCAGCGTAGTCTGCAGGAGCGGGCGGCATCCATTGAAGCGGACTATAAGATACAGAAGCAAATTCTGGAACGCACCACTCAGGAGGTCGCCAAAAAGACATCCGAAATAAATCAGTATCTTGCCGATGTACAAAAGGCTACCCAAGAAATTATTGAAATTGAAAACACAGAGTACCGTGATCTACCTGAATATGACCGCCTGGTAAGTACATACCATTCCAACTCGAAGTCTCATTACATCTACCTGTTTTTTTACCTCAGAAAACCCACTTGTCCGATTGCGGTGAGAGAATCGAGAAATGTAAAGAAGAACGCCGTGAGCTGCAAGTGAAACTCGAAGAAATCGATACACTCAAGACCGAATATGAAGCTAAGAAGTCCGATGAATTAAAGGCCCTCGAGGAGATTACCAGACAAGTGGAGAGGCTCGATACGGAGGCCCACGAAGTGTCAAATCAAATACGTAACTTGGACAGTGAATTCTCGCAAAACAATCGCAATCTCCAGAAAATGGTAGAGCTGGTGCAAAATCAGCAAAAGGTCAGACAGGACATTCTCAATGAATTGGAGAAGGCAACCAAAGCGGCCAAACTGACGGGCGAATTTATTAAGACCACGAATACGGAAGAGGAACTCCTAGATTTAATAAGTCGATACAAATCAAAGATCCGACAAGTGGAGCAACTAAATTACGATCCCGAAGAGGTAGAGAAGAGTTTAGGTGTCCTGAGGGATAAGCTTGGCGAAGATGCCAACCGTTTTAAACTATCAGAAAATGTTGTCATGCATCTGCGCCAGGCGTACCACGCCAATTCGCTAAATTTCCAGAGATCTCGCCATCATTATTTAACAATGGTTCAGCACAACTTTCAGGTAAGGCTTTCCGCCTGTTCTGTTCTACTTAAATGATCCTTTATAATGTATAATATAATTCCACAGTGTGCCCTAAAACTGCGGCATTTTGAAGTAACCTTTGAAGATAATTTAAAAGCGAAAACGTGGAGCATAAATGTCTTTCCTGCAAGTGGCAACAAAACCTCAAACACAAAAAGTCTGTCCGGTGGGGAACGCTCTTTCACGACGGTTTCGTTGCTAAAAGGTCTTTGGACCACTTCAGATCACCCGTTCTATTTTTTAGACGAATATGATGTTTTCACTGTAAGTTGGAATTTTTCTGGGACTCTTTGGGACGAGCTAATAAGTTTTTGCTCATTGCAGGACGAAGTCAACCGCAAATTTATAACTGAACTTTTAATTAAAGAGGGTAGGGATTGGAGAACGCGACAATATTGTTTTCTGACACCCCTGGATACGGAAGTGGAAGAGAGTCCATACATCAGAATACTTAAGTATGATTCTTACGTTTACGTTGAGTCAATTTCTTAAATGTTTTTTTTTTCAGATTGTCTTCGCCCGATGAAGGTGATTCCAACAGGCACTCTCTTTCTTAATATTTAGCCTATATTCGAAAAAGACGGTTGCAGGATGACGACAAATTAGCCTCCAACTACTAAATCCTCAGGAAACATACATTTTTTATTACTATACTTACTTGAACACAAAGTATATTATTCTTTACTTGGAACAGTGCAGAGGTGAATGAAGTGTTTGTTGTTAGGAATTAAAAGTTGACGGACAAAGTATTATTTGTTTCAAAAGCATTACAATTTATCCGCGCTTGTGTGAATGTCAAATTAGTGTGGATGTGAATTTCGCGTGGTAGTGTGAATGTTGCCAGCCATAACCTGAAAGGCGGCGACGACGAGTTTCTCCTATTTATTTATTTTTTATATTGTTAAACTTGCAAAATGAGCCGAAACTACAAGGAGGATCAGAGCAGTGAGGTCGAAGCTCTGGACTCCATTTACTGTGGCGAAATGGAAAGTATGTATAGAAGGACATTCGAAATAAACCGCCTCTAACCGAAGCAACCTCTTCCCACAGTTCTCGCAACAGAGCCTTTTCACAAATTCCAGATCCCCATTGCGACAGAAGATTACAATGCAGAGGAAAATGAAAATGGATTGTCCTGCAAGCTGGTGTTTACATACACAGCTACTTATCCGGATGCAGCGCCACTTGTGGAAATTGAGGAAGCTGAAAATTTTGAAGACACATTCGAGACACGCCTGCTGGAGCATTTGCGGGAAACCATTGAGGAAAACATTGGCATGGAGATGATTTTCTCCCTAGTGAGCAGTGCTCAGGAGTGGCTAAATCAGCGCTGGGATGAGCATACAACACAGGCGGAGGAGCAGCGTGTGCAGAAACTGCGGGAGGTTGAAGAAGAGGAACGCAAGAAATTCGAGGGTACGCGAGTGTCGGTCGAGACGTTTATGAAGTGGAAACTTGACTTTGAGGAGAGCACGGGCATCGCAGCGAAAAGGGAGAAGATTAATGATTGCAAGAAGTTGACTGGACGCGAGCTCTTCATGTGCGACAACACGCTTAATGATTCCGACATTAAATTCCTGCTGGCGGCTGGCGAAAACATTGAAAACGTCAAGATCGACGAGACACTGTTTCAAGATATTGGCGAACTGGATTTGGATGATGATGATGATGAAGACTGGGTGCCTGGGGCCGATGACGATGATGATTAAACTGTGCGTCGTTGCTGCGATATTAAAACAAATATTTCTTGAAGGCATATTCGTGTACACTGTGTAACATTAAATGCTAACTTTTTTGGTTAATCTAAGTTATTTGGATTTTGCAAACTCATGTCGGACAATTTGAGGCCATGAGTGTATACAGGTTCGATGTCGTCCAGATCAAAGAACTCGTCATCGCTATCATCGATCTTTGGGACCTGCGCGGCATTGGTTTTCTTGGCCGCCGGCATTACGGCGCGTTTGAAATTCAATTTGGACCAAGAGCCGGGCTCCAGCTTGGGCAACGTAATCTCCACTTTGGTGCCGTACATGTGTGCACTTGCCTTGTCCACTTTGACAATCTGTAAAAAAAGTTTCATCTAGAAACCGTTTGCTAATGGAATGGAAATCAAGGACTTACACCTCCTAGCTCCAGATCAATGTCAAAAGTAGCGTTTTCCTGCTCTGGGAAAACCAGCTTAACATGCAGACGGATAGGATTTATTTCTATCACACTCTGGGCATAATGATACTTCTTGGCGTAAATGGCCACCACCACATTTGTGGCCGTTTGATGCCAATCATATCGGCACTGCACAACCTTCTTGTCGTCGTTCTGCGGATAAACATTTCATTAGTAAAGATCTAAATTCTTTTCGGTTGGAGACCATACCTCTTTGACCCACTTGTGCTTGCCGTTCACACAGCCCCTCTGGGCCATGAATTGTGTAAAATCTGAAGTACGCTTTTGGCAGCATGACCAGAACTTCATGCCTTCGTGGAAAATGGGTACACCTGGATGATATGCGCACTGGCCGTCATCGCTGTCCAAGCCAGTGAATGAATAGGAGCATCCATTGTTTTTGCAACTTGTACCCACAGCGATGGCATCGCTTTCAGCTCCGGATGGCGTTGCTGTTGCTGACGGAGCACTGCTGACTTTCAAAGTATCAATCTGCTCTTTCAGGGAAGCTGCAACTGTTGCCTGCAGGACCGTGAATGGTGTTTCTATTGGTGGCCTGGCCATAGCTTCTTTTATAGGTGCACGCACTTCGATGACCTCGTCCTTGTCCCCATTGTTGTCGTCTTTGGGTGGTTTTTCTGGCTCTGGGGGCTTCACATTCGAATGTTTGGCCAGAGTGCAGCCCTTGATGTTCAGGAACTCGGTGAAGTCAACCGACTTTTTGTTGCAACAAGACCAGCCCTTATAGGCATCGTGAAAGAACGGCTCGCCTGGATGGTGCCGGCATGATTCTGCCAAAGGAAAGTAAAGTTCTGATGATACATCTGTCTTGAGTTACCGTGAGTTCCTCTTACCATCGTTATTGGCAGCTTCATCGAAAAGCTGGCCACAGCCTCTGTTATAGCATTGGAGCATTTTGCTGTTTTTTGCTCTAGAATATTCCCTCTGAGTTTTTGACGGCTGGGGGGCTCGCGTTTTCCTCTCCGCACCAAAGCAACCGTGTACATAAAACGAACTTAGCCCACTTAAGCCCCCTCTGTTTAAACAGTTCAACGACTTGAGGTAAATGGCGGAAAATATTACTGATTGTAGATGCTTTTTGTAGATCCATGCCATCTTTCCTCTGAATTTAAAAAAATCCCCCGATATCTTTCAGCTCAACTACGCTGAAATTTTTCAATTTCCATTATTTTCGGTGGAATATTAAAACACCCCTTTGGTCTACAATGGGTTAAGCGTTCTCCCTCAAGGATTGGACACCATATTGGTCGATTTTGATATTCGATTCGATAGATCAATTTAGATATGCTTATTTTAATTCATTAATTGTTTGAATTTTGTATTGTATTTTGCAAAATATCGTTGAAATACAACGATCGAGGAGAGCGACCTAAAAACTCTCAATTTGGCCCTCATAGAGTGCGCCAAAAAGCAATTGTTTGAAAGTGAATGAGCAACAGGACTTGAGAGAGCGAAAATTAAGAAAACCTACGTATGGTTGTTCCTATAACCTTGTTCTCTGTTCGGAGACATTTGAAGACATTTATATTTTCCAATAACCAAAAACAGATGTGATGTGCACAAAGTAAGTGACAGATTTGTGAACACCGCTCATGGTATATTTGGAAAGGGCAACCAACCGACATTAGCGAATGAAAAACAATTAAAAGTGATAGTAAATTCCGAACTATGCTAATTACTGCCACTGTTTCAGAGATTTATAGAATTAGCTAATTGCCAGATGGAATTGGAAGTACAAAACGACTTTGCATAAGAGCTGAAGGTCAACCGATAAATGGTCTACGTGATTTCTGCACAGGATTGACAAATCCGACAAATTGCGAACAGACTGAGCAGAGACACGCTTTAATATTAGATCAGTGAGAGAAAAGCAGAGCGAGAAACAGGAGCGGAGCGTGTTCTGGGACTGTCGTAACTGGTTCCACCGGGGTCCCACCGCCCTAGGCTAGTTCTCCCCCTGCATGATTTTGTTGATTTGTCACATTCATGGTTTCGTTTTCATTTATTGCCTGCGGCGGTGTCACAGCATAAATCTGAACTTGCAGGCGGCCAATTGCCGTTTCGTTGGAAATTCTGTTGTGGTCAACAAGGTTATCAACACGATTGGCTGGCGCGCGAACCGTTCCTGGGTTGCACTTCAAATGAAATTATGACAAACTTCTCCGCTCACTCCCACTCCCACTCCCTCCCGATCCAATCCCCTAACCAGCGGTATATTTTACGTAGTGCATGCACATTCAGTTTTTATTTGGCTGCGGCTGCTGCTGCTGCTGCTGTTGCCTGTGAATCATGCCATTGCTAATGATCCCGCCGCCACAGTTGCAGTTGTGGCTGCCCCATTGTTGTGAAACCGCCCGAGAATTGTAAAATTGTAGTTTCTTTTTCTTTATTTTCATATTACGAGTGTAGCGGCGGTGGCTGTGGCGGTGCTCTGCAACTTTTGACAATTGCAAATACAAATAAATAAATAAATATAACGCGCTGCGGACACTTTGGTCGCCACATCGCCAGTGTCAATGGAAATTAACACCGCCCTGCCCGACCTGGCTTTGGCTTCAACTTCAGCCTGGGCCTCGGCTTTGTCTTTGCTTTTTGGCCGCCTAGGCGTATACGTAATTTAGCATACAATGGCAGCGGCGGCAACATGCAATTGTGGAGCTGCTGTGCTGTCATGTCATGTCTATTTCTCTGCCAGGGCACGGATTTCTCGCAATGCCCATGCGACTCCTCCTCGCTGCTCCCCGTTACTGAACCTATCGTTCTAGCTGATGGGAGTCCCACCATATCCAAGTTTTGGGCGGGTGCTGTGCAGGAGAAAACAAAACTCTGCCATAAAGTTAACACATTTATTTACAAAAGAATTGTATCTAGTCTCCAGCTCTTGCTCCTACTCCTCGTCGTCTCCTGCTTCCAGTTCTGTTCCTTCAGCTACTGACTACACAACATGACTCTAGATGGTTCTTCTTCGTCACTCATCACGCGTCCGCATCAAAAGTATCTAAACCTTGTGGTGTATGGATTACTGAAGTAGTTATATGTCGCATAGGAAGTGTCCGGTGTCTGGAAACTGGTGCTAAAGAAGGTTGGATCCGCCACTGCTGCTGCTGCTGCTGCTGCCACTATCGCCGCCGCTGTTGTCATGGAACAGAAGCACAAACAAAAGCATTTTAATTGGGCTTTTTTCTCGTTTCTCGATTAATAATACGAATATTGGACCAGTGCATTTGTGGGGTGGAGGGATTAGTGGTGGTTGTGGTTGTGATTGCTGCTCTAGCTGGTGCCAAGTGGGTAAATTCCAAGTGTGGGCGTTGCCCATTGACGCGAAGCGGGCCTGAAGGTTAAGCTTCAAGCACACACCACACTGTCAATCACAGAGTCGACGTCACAGTCATTGGGCTGTCTTTTGATTGTCCAGTGCGTCGGTGGGTCCGACAACGCCCTGCCGCCGCCACATTGATTAGAATGTCGGACACATTGCCCCAATGTGATTGTGGTGGGTGGCGGTGGCGGTGGCGGTGCGGCTGCGGCTGGCAATTGCCCAACTCAAACTATTCCAATTGCCGTTCGAATTCATGGCTGGAATAGAGCCTGAGCTCGAGCGGAGCAGAGTACCGTCGTTCGACCATTAATCTACGCCAGTCTTGGGCAATTGTTACGCTTCGGCTTCAGTTATAGATTGCCATTTGCCCGTTGCCACTGCCGCTGGGGTCTCCTAGCCGCAGGCAGTCCCAGTCCTCATCAGGAAGCCCAGCCGCGTATCCAACTGCGTAACCAACCATTTGTGTTGAGGGAGAGAGAACTTTTGCTATGCAAAATTAATTACACAATGGCCATTTGTTGGCCTGTTAGGCCTGCTCCAGCTCCAGGTCCAGGTCCTTGTCGTGGTCCAAGTCCGAGTACGCTCTCAGGCTCCCCAGCAATCGTGCATAAATTGTCAAATTGTAAAAATTATCTCAACTTAGCGTCGTTTGTTCGATCGTTTTTTTTCACCCGGTCTCAGCCTCAGTCTCAGTCCTGTTGTTTTTTTTTTTTTGTGAGTCGTTTGCAGTTTTCATTGTGAAATGTCTTTCCATTCATTTGTACAATGGGTCCAAGTCCTCCTCCAGTACGAGTACGAGCACACAGTAAACACAGAAAAAGTTGCTCCATTTCTGTTTCTGTGCCTGCCTCAATATCGATATGCAAAAAAGAGCATAGCATAGCAAGACTGCACGTAGAAAAAAGATCGAAAATAAACTGCTAAAATATTTTGCATGCGGTAAAAGCAAAGCAAAAGTCGCATTAGTCGCGCATATCATTGACTCTGTCTGGTCCCAGGCCCGTGGCTCTCTGTCTGTGCCCCTCTGTGTCTGTCACCCAGATGCAAGTGTGTGCTGTGCTGCTCATTGGCTCATTGGCTCTGTGGCTCTGTGGCCAGACCACAGCCAGACTCCGCTTAAACTCCGCTTAGACTCCGCCGAGACTCTGGCACGGGGGCACAAGAGTGCCATTTGTGGTCTGACTGTTGATTGTTGTGCCAGCACCTGCTTCTGCCTTGTCCGCTTGTCAGAGCCTGTCTGGCTCTGGATCGTTAGAGAAACTGTTTAAAAGCATTCTCTTCTCAGGCCGGAGATATTACACTTGGGCTAGCCCCTTTGCACTGTCTTAATTCAGAGATGGTTTGCGCAGGAGTAGTACTGTACTGCCTAGGGGTATCCTGTCTGCTGTAGCGGTAGGAAGTGATTTCCTCTGTACTGATTTCCTTTAGATTTGTGTTACGCTTAGCTCCAGCCCTGGGCAGCGGAACGAACTGCGATCTCTGAAGATTTATTACAACGAACCGTTTTGTTTAACATATTTGTTGGACCATTTCCACCTACATGTGGTTGTGGCTCCACTCATGTGTGAAGAGCATCCCCAAGTCGACCCGGTCACAGTCGATGGTTTCCCTGCTTCCGTCCGTCCGTCCGCCTCCCGTCTCCCGTCTCCCACACACGACTCCTTCAATTTGTGCTGCCGCCGCACTTCAAAGCCAGATCGGAGCGGAGCTGTTAATTAGGCGCTAGTTTTATGTGCGCTTAAAATAATTGCTATAAAAGTGATCATAGATAAACATACAGAAACGAACAAACAGCTCAAAAAATGGTGCATTGACAAACAGAAAATGCAAAAATTAAAATAGAAAAAAAGACAAAAAAAAAGAGTTCGAAAATGCAAAGAATTTGTTGGCAAACACAAAATACTTTTGCCATGGATACGATACGATTTGTTTTCTTGTAATAGTAATTTTCTTTTTATTAATAATTTAGATTTCGCTTTTCGGTTACAAATAAAATAAAATAAAATTATACAAAATTATAATACAATTCCAATTTGAAATATAAATTAAAAAATGAAGCCGAATTCACAAATCAAATAAAAAAAGGATAAAAACGAAACAATAAAAATATGGAGATAACTTTTAGTTTTTCAAGCTAATTAAACTAGCTAATGTTAGGGGGGTTGTGGGGTTGGAGGGGGGTGTGGAGGGGGGTGTGGAGGGGGGTGTGGGAATAGGAGAGTGAGCTGGAGAATGGATGGGTAATTAATTTGGATTTGTGGGTGGCTAAGCGGCTGGTCTTTGTTTGGTTGGTTTGTTTTTGTTTGTAATTAGCTAAAAAAAAGGAACGCATTTCCGTTTCCGGTGCTGTTGGTGCTGTTGCTCGTTCTGGTGCGCATACTCATGTGCATGTGCAAGTGCATGTGCATGTGCATGTGTGTGCATGTGCGTTGAAGGCCTGCGTGTGCGTGTGTGTGCTTGTGTAGGAGTTGGATGGGTGGATAAAGCTTTTGCATTACGATTTGTGTGAAGATTTGTGTTTGTTACGTTTAACCAGAGACTTTTCCTGCGAATAAGACATTTGTTTGATAGTTGGCAAATTAGGTACTCGACAATTATTCAACAAACTAAATTATAACAAAGGAGTAACATAGTAAACTACGATTATAAGAAAACACTGCTCTGCTCTACTGCTGCTACACTATTGCACTAATAAAGCTTTTCTTTTATCTTCTGTGTAGGTGTGTGTGTGTGTGTGTGTGTGTGATTGTGGAATGAGATGGATCTATCTGTATCTATGCAGGTTTCCCTGTGTGTGCTCAGACAGTGCGCTTAAAGATATTCGCATTACTTTGCTGGGGCGGCACAAAGCCATAGCCGGAGGCACCCACAACCACGCCGCTGGACTCGTCCACTGCATCTGGCGGGGATGGGGGGAACACAACGGGGCCTGCAATGAGGTTGGTTTAAAGTGAATGGAATGGAAAAATATTGCAAAAGAAAATGAAAACATTGATTAGATAAAGAAAAATCCTGGTCCGCATCGAGCGTACCTCTGTTCTGTCGCGGATCCCGCACTTGTTGTGTGGCAGATGAAGGCTGGGCGAGGGACAGGGGATCAAATCCAAAGCGGGCACGACTCGGGAACTGTCCCAAAAAGTACTGCTGGCCCGTGACGTACGCCAGGCACAGGCAGAGGGCGGCGATGGTGACTAACTGCAAGTGGAAGTGGACAATGCACTTGATTAATATTAATATTATTAATATACTGGAAATGTAAACGAGTGTATGCCTATAGATATGAGAAAATCATTTGCACTGGTTGCACACACGTTGGCCAAAGCAATTAAGCCGTGGAAATGTATGCCAATGCCATAATCCAACAATTAAATATCAAACGAAAGACGCAGTGGCCTGGCCATAGTAGAATGCCACCATGCCGTTGGCTTGGCTCTCGGACTGCCACCGGTCAAGTGCAGTCGCCTTGGGCACGAGCCAGTAGTTTCAGTTTCGGTTTCGGTTTCAGTTCTGGTCCCTGGCCAAAAGCCCCTCGTGCAATTAGCCACGTCAATTGCTGTAATGCCCCAAAACGAATGTATGACAAATATTGCACTTCAAAGTGTCCCAAATGGGAAAATGGTCTGGTCACAGTTTGAAACGGATATGAACCTATTTTCATATTTGTAAATAGCTCCCACGATTGCTCCTTTTATAGGTGCGATCTATTTACATTCCGGACTCTCTCTCCTTTTTTATTGCTCGTTGGAACAAATAACCACTTTAGTGGCTCGGATATTTATAGACCGTTTCGACTTCATGCATATCACATTGATCATACGCGAAGCTGCCACCATTGCGGCGAAGTGTGATAAATTTGCTAAATAGCAATTGTGCTCGTTCTCCTACTGACCCCATTCCACGGCCGGCAACCAGGGATGCAGTTGGCGTGGGAGTTGGAAGGGAGCGGGCCGGGGGCCGGGGGCCGGGGCAGCGCACATGCTGTGCAAATTGCTTGCGGACGGGTTCATAAATCCCCTTGGAGCTGTCCGAGAGGCGCTTTGCATTTGTGTCGAATGTCTTAGTTAAGGCCGTCACGCAATTGGCAGACTGACTTTAATCATAGGGCAGATTTGACTTAATAGAACGGGTTTTTGGCCAACCAATCGATCGGACAATTGCGCCAACTCTGGCTGTTGCACATACGAGTACTTATGGTATGGTATGGCATGGTGTGGTGTGGTGTGGTATGGTAAATACCCAGCCTTCTTATGGCTAATGCTCTGACAGTGCAACTGTTGCAAAAGGTTTGTGCTTCATTAATTGTTTAATGGGCCGCGCCTGCGCAACATTCGACTGCCTGCAGCCACCACTTCAGGGAGGGCCCCTGTCTGACCAACTGGAAGAAGGATACAAATAAACGTAAAACCCTATGGGGCCAAGCACTGCAGCCATAATGCTAATTGCTATTAAGTAAAATATGCAAAAAAACCAACAGTCTTTAAACAAAATAATCAAAAAAGTATGCAAACAAGGCGGCCCGGGCTGGCCGCTAACTTGCCAACAAGACCAGCCGGAGACCCAGAGACTTTTAGTGACTCGGTAACTTGTGAAAATACTTTTAATTAATTCGTGTTTGTTGTGGCTGCCACAGAGCCGCACTGAGTCTGAGACTGAGACGCAAATTCGAAGTCTATTGCCACATCAAAGAGTGGAAACAGTGGAGCAGGAATGGGTTTCCAGTTTAAAGAGTTCTCAAAAGAGGCAAAGCAAACAGGTCGTTAAGGGAACTACTATTCTAAAACAGAGATCATCCCTCACACACTGTACAGTCTAATGGGAATTTCGTGCAGTGTAAATCTTCCCGTCTTGTGATACTGTCCATCTGGTTCTCCTCTTTGGCCACTGTCAAGTCAACGCTCAGCGAACGTACTCCAGTTTGCCTCCAACTGTGGCATGTAAACACATGTAAGCCGTCACAATGTCTGAGCTGCTCGTTTGCATCTGGAATTCCGTGCATACTTAGATCTCGATTTGAAAGTAATTGGTTAGGCTAATTCGGTAATTTTTTAATTGAAGTGCATAATTTGCTGGTGGGATTGGGACCAGAACAATGCTTGCGGTGACTCCCTAGCAGCACCTCCGATCCCGCAGCCACCGTCGCCACCACAACAAGAAATTAGCTGAACAAATGACCTTAGATATGATTTCGTAACTGGGAGACTGCTCGGACGGTTGGTGGCGCTAGCTGGAGACACCTTATACACCAGACACCGAACACCAAACAACACAACACAGATGTCGAGGCACTACCTCCAACTCTGGCTGCTGTTGGCCAACGACGGCTCATGCGAAAACCCACCCACCCACAAACAATGATTAAGTGCAGCAACATGTGAGCATAAAGTTAATAAAAAGTAAAAAAATCACTAACACTACAACTAAAACTGCTGAGCACTAGTGCCATGGCTGGGGGAGGGTACAGTACGACAGGCCAACATTGTCTCGTTAGCATGAAAATGTAGATAGCCTTTGCATTTGTGGGTATAATAGCATTGTCATGCTGTTGATAACTGCCTGGGAGGAATGGAACGGGCTGATATTTATGGCAATTGAAATTGATTCAAGTTTGGTACGTGTGTATGTATGCATGACTACCCCTAATGGTACAGGATTGTCGATTGCCGTCAAAGGGATATCGGACTTTCAGCAAGGGCATTCGGTAATCAGGATGGATGCAATTAGCTTTCCCGTTCCTATTTTCAATTTGATTTTTCATTTGTGCTGTGGCACTTATTGGCGTTTAGACTTTGATTGGCTGCAAATGTGCGGTAAAAAATAAATTAAAAACCAACCAAGCAACAGGTAATCGAGTGTGTGGAGGGGAGTGAACTGGACTGAACTGCACCACCACTGCACGGACTTTGAATGAGGTTGATTTGATCCAGAAGCCTTTGCCAAGTGCTCCGCTCCGGTTGGAATGAGTCAGAGGGAAACCCGGACTGGATCTGATGGATATCCAGGTGGCAGGCAGGCAGCTGCTAATTAATCTTGCTTAGGTTTAAACGATTTGTCATTTACCGGATCGGGCATAATTAATTTTGCGTGAAAACTACGTGGCTGGAAAAGTGAATGTGACTTTCGGGGGAGACAGACAATTGAAATCTCGCCAAACAAAAGTTATTATTGTTATTGTTATCTTTTGTTAATGATAGCAACGCCCAGTAGTTTTCATTTTTATGTTTTTTTGGGGTTTCGGGCTTGGGGATCGCGCTCCCGGAGTTCAATGCTCGATTGAGCAACAATTTGACTGACTTTCAACACGGAAGCTGGGCTTCCAAGTCGGCGAGACTGGAGACTGGAGACAGGAGAGAGACTCTCGACTTTAGTCGAGACTGGACGCCTTTTAGCAAGTTGGCAAACGCAAATATCGCTGGAACTGCCGCTGGATGCTCGAAGCTGGATCAGGGTAAAGTGTTGAATGAGGTACGTGCAACAGCAACAGCAACAGCAACAGCAACAACTTCGGGGGACTGCCGCTTCAAATTACTTTGAATTGTGTTTAATAGGTGGGAAACGAAACGAAAACGAAGTCAGGCCGCGATCTAACGACTGTGGCCAGCTGCCGCTGCCCCACTGATTGCTTGCCGCGGCAGTCGCCGTCCGAGAGTTGCTGTTGCTGTTGCTCAATCTATTGTCAATTGTAATTGAATTATTAAACATCAATTTGGCTAGGAAGTGCAAATTGCGAGTGCGCGCTCGTGCAGCGTGAGAATCAGCCGGTGACCGGTGACGACAATGACGTTGATCTGGCCATTGATTTTCCTTTTTCCTGCCCGCAGAATGAGTTCAAGTTCAAACTGGTTTCCAGCCAACCAGCCAGCCAGCCAGCCGTCGAGCCGTCGAGCCGAGCAAATTTGTAGCATTTAAAGTCTGACAAAATGCCAAACACAGCGCAAAACGCACATGCCTTATAAATATGGTAATGGAGCAGCAGCACAGCACTCGTACGTACCGTACCCCCTATCGATCTGCAGCGATAAATCTAACAGAAATATTTTTCGCAACTAGCGCATGAGCCTCCGCTCATGTGGGCAGTGGGCAGTGGATTTTGGAGCTCTGAATCTGAAGCTGGACATGTGTATGCCATGCACTTGCCATGCCATGAGCATTGACTGACTGACAAACTGAGTGACCGACTACAGCCTGGACAGCATCGGCATCGGCATCAGCCATAGATCCAACTTCGAATCCAACTCAAACTCAAGCCCAAACTCCTGGCCCGCTCTCAGCTGCGGTTGCGACAGCTGCTGCGCAAACGCAAAACTCCAACGCTAATCGCCGTCAAGGCGGCCTAAGCGACACAAAATTGAAATAGAAATTGTTGTGCTGTGCGCCAGCGCCGTCTATCACGATGGGACGATATCAAATGACATGGCATGGAGTCCTGTTTAACAGTCCAACGGCTGGCTGGCTGGCTGGCTGGCTGGCTGGCTGGCTGGACGGCTTATGAATGTTCAGCGGGTGTTCAGTCGGTGTTGTCTCGTTCCAACCTATGGGAGCGCTGACCCAAATGAATCCTCTGGGAATGTAGGAGATTTACTATTCGAAGGATCCAACTATAGCCTGCTACCGTGCAACTTCTCCTCGCTGTACCATATTTCACTCAAAGCTGTTTCAGCTCCACAACGGTGTTTCAGATGCTTTGACCTGGCCAAGAGCATGCAACCACCAACCACTGACTAACCGCCACCATCATTATGCATGGACATGTCGGAGCCTCCAGTACGTATACCTGGGGCCATTGGGCAATCGGCACTTTCCGGCGCGACATCTTCATTAGAGAGAAGCCAAGCGAAACGCAAGGCGAAACCAAAGCAAATACAAAATAAAATTGTACGAGTACGACTATGTATGGCAATTAATTTGAATTTCAACACGCAAAGCGTGTAAAAGGCAGAGTAACATTGGACTACAGACGACGGACGAGCGAAAGAGCAAGCGTCGGACTGGCCAAAAGTTGACGGCGACAACGATTAACCAAGCGATCTAGAGGGAATGGGAATCGGAATGGGAATGGTTGAGAGCAATTAATAAATCTTTTACGTGTGCATGGGCCAAAATCCTAATCGAGAGCGACGTTGATTGCGGTTTCCCAGGGTGCCCACCACAGCCACCACTGGGCCGCCACTGGGCCTCCGATGAAACGATGCCGACTGCAGAGACGGTCACAGACCCCTTCTCCAGCTGCAGACACCCCCCTCTGGGCTGCAATTCTCCCCATCATCGGGAGTTACATAAGCTTTTTTCTAGTGCATTGCACGCTTGCATTTTTATAATTTTTAAGTGTGCTTTTCATTTGATTTCCACGCACAGCACAGCACAGCACAGCACAGCATCGGTTCGTTCATTCATTCATGATTGGAGGCTAACGCGGCTGGGAGCCGACTCCACTCGGAAGGGGGGCACGGCACGGCACGCAATTCGACACAAGAAGCTGGTCGGTCGGTCAGTGCGGGCCTGGCTTAGGCATGGTCATGGCTTTGGCATTCCTTGGCTCTTGGACTCTTGGCCAGTGGCGTTTTCTTGGCGCGTGTGTATCGCACTTTTCAATTCAGTTACAAAACGCATGCCCGGCGCACGTTTTTGGCTTGTTTTTCATGCTGCTGGCTGCTGGCTGCTGGCTGCTGCCTGATCTGTCTGCTGGCCGTCTCGGGTCTCGCGCTCTCAACATTGCGTGGCCTTCAACATGAACTTGAACATTTTTTGCGTGCGTTTTCCCATGTAATTGCAGGCCCCTACCCCCGATTGAAGGCCACTTTCGGGCGGAAACTCCTAAAACTTCTAATTAAATCTAGTTAAATTGGTGTAATTTGTGCCTTATGCAAGACAAATTGAATTATATTTTGATTGGGGATCAGAAAATGGTGGGAAAATACTTGAACCAATGATATGGCTGGGGAAGGTCAGGGACTTCCATTAACGCATGGCGCATTCCAATCGGCCATATTGAACGAATTATGCATGGAAATCTTTTGTAATAGTGCAACCCACTAATATACATAATTTGCCCCGACTAATGGGCGTTCCAAATATTCATCACTTGGATGGTCTTGTCACATCAGAGTCGCAACGGCCAAAAGTAATGCAAGGCCAGGCCTTGCCATAAAGGAACCGAGCGTCTGGCCTAAAGTGGTATCTACTTAGGCATTGGATATAGACATATCGCGGCGGTGACTTTTGCCTTCATGGCCTGCTGACACACACGACTTTTGTGGGCCATAAATTAGAGTGCCAGGGCCCCCAATAAAAATTCTTGGAGAACAAAACAAAGCCTCGCAGATAGAGCCAGCCGCCGCAACAGTCATTTGACAACTGTCGAAGCCAACTAGCGGACTTCATTTGCGGTTCAAATGTGGCCCGAACGTGTTAACAATTATATTGCATTAGCGGCCAATGGAAATGTGGTGACAATTGCCGCGAAAACCACGAGAAAACACCAATGAAAACAAAAGACTTAGGCAACAAACTTGCAAACTGCAGTCCACAAAAAGTACGAGTTGAACACTAGTAAAATATACTTACAAACTTCATATTGATGGTTGATTGAGCTTCTGCTGCTGCTGCTGCTGGGCGTTTGTGTGAAGCTGCAATTAGTTAACAAATATTTGAAATATTATGTTTATTTATGGGGAGTTTTAAACACTTTTGCACTTCTTTCATTTGCATGACACGAAAACGTTTTGGCTTTGAATTTCATTAACCAAAATTGATGATTACTTTTTTGTTTTTTGTTTTTTTTTGTGGTGTGATATTTCAGTTGCAGTTTCGCAAAAACAAATGCAGCAATGCGTTAAGTTAATATATTTTTGAGGTATTTGTTGTTTGTTTTTGGTTTTTGGTTTTTTTCGAACAGGCACGACGACGAGCGCGCGAAGTCAAAGGAAAAACTGAATTCAAATGCTGTGAGCCGCCCGCCACTGCCTGTAAGCCAGCCTGCTTACTGCCGGACTCTTGGCGGAATCTTGGCTTGTTGGCTTTGCGGCTTCGTGGCTTGGTGGCGGCGGACCGGACTGACTTACACGAAAGATTTGTGTGCGACGGAGCTCTCGGGCCTCTAACTGCTGTACGTCGTACGTCGGTCGGGTTGTGCAGTAAAACGTTTAATGAATTCCAACAGATATGCTCAGTTGATTTTATATAAAGCATGATCCCCACAGCCGCCTGCCTGCTTTGTTTCGTGCGTTAGTTTTGAGTGGATCGCCGCCGCCGCCGCCGTCGCCGTCTCTGTCGCCGCTTTTTGAGTGAGTTTTTCTCCCGTCGAGTGCTTTTGGCTTTGGTGGTGCTGCTGTTGTTGGCCTACGTGCACTGTTTGCCTTTGCCTCTGGCCACGTGATGATTGTTCTTTTCGAGTAGTGCGGCCAATGGGGGGAATCGGCTGCAGTGCCAATTCAACTTTCTAGCAAATTAATATTCATCTGGTTTATTGGTTCCGGTAACCAGTTTTGGGGTCTCCAAACGAGTCAATCAGCCGCTGCTGCTGCTAATGCTGTTGATGCTGCAGTGGTTTATGCAAATCCCCACTATCCTATCCTATCCAGTGTCTAGCATATGTAATTGGAAAGCTGGCACCACCTTGACTTGATTGCAGGTGAAAATAAAATAACAAACAGCTTGGCGGCACAGGCGAACGTTGCTTTGGCAATTTCTTCCGGCTCTGCTTGACTTGACCGTGAAATGTTTTTGCTTGCCAACATTGTTTTTAGTATTGTCTTTAGTAAGGCCCTCTGGCGGGGGACTGACTGTTTGCTTTATTTAAATGACAGATAAAGCTGTGCCCGCTTCAATGATTAAGAATAGATATATGCATAATCGTGTCATATACGGCTTCTGTCATAATCATAATCATAACGCGCCAACTGTCTGCCGGAAGCGGATCAGAAGATAGCAATAGCAGCAATAGCAATCACATTCCGTAGAACCTAAGCGGCTTCTTTTTTATTAGAGCTTAAGTGTCGCATCGTTTAACGATTGACATTTATTGCATGTTTCTATATCCCCTCTACTGAGCATGCTTTGGGTTGGGTTGGGTTGGGTTGGATTGGGTTGGATTGTGTGTGGCGGGGCCCTTAGACAAAAAGTAAATGTGAAATTCATGAGGAATGCTTGTCATGTTTGATTAGCTTTAATTTAATACGATTTGCACACTTGTTTGCTGCTATGCGAGAAATGTGCTCGGGTTAAACATACGAGCATTATACTCTGCTCTGGCAGAGGGTATCGTGATTTTGCCTAGAAGTTTGCAAGCGAAGCGATAAGCCATTCTTTTCTGCTTCTATGGATAGTAGTCTCTTAACACAGATTAGACCCTTTTGACAGGCAGTACTTCAGAAGGGAAATTATCGATCAGGCTTCCAAAATTTAACCAAAATCGAATTGCTTTAATTAAGTTCTAGCACAAGAACCAACAATCCAAAAGTGTATTAGAAGCTGCGACCCCCGAAGCTGGCCTTTCTTTCTGGTTAATTCAGTTTTAGTCTTTTTTATGCGCCAAGCAGTTAAGCAGTCAATCAGCCATGAAGCTGAAGCTGAAGCTGGTAGCGGGAGCCAGAGACAGCGGCAAAGGCAGGCCAGAGAGGGAGGGGAGGGAGAGAGAGCAAGTTCAAGTTCAATCCACAGCTGGCCTGGCCGCAAAAGCTCCTTGGCTGAAGCTGGGGGGTTGCAACCGCCAAAGTCGAATAGATTGATGGATACTCTCGCCGGAAAAGGGTCAAACCGACTACTGGCCGCAGTTAGTCATGCCCGGAGGGAGCTATGATTTAGTGGCCAGACATTTGTGGGAATCGGCTAGAGTGTAGTGTATGCTTCGGTGATCCGGGGGGCTGGCCTTCCGTTCTGTTCTTTTGGCTTTTTGCATTGTCTTCACTTCACTTCAGCTTCAGCTTCAGGTTTAGTCCGACGAGAGGGTCAAGTTCAGTTTCAATTGTTGTAAGCGAGGCAATTACGAGTATAGCGGCGGCTAATTGTTGATTGCCATTGATTTATGCTGAATCAATTAGCCAAAACCAAACCAAACGCCTTGCGCGCACTTTGGCTTTCTTTGCTTTTGCTTTTGCTTTTTGCTGCGAAGTTATCAATCATTTGCCCACTCGTCTACCAATGAAATTTCAGCGGCCTCAGTTATGCCCTGTCTTGGCCCCAGTCACAGCACCAGGTTATTGCCACTTTGAGGAATTAAAATTGAAAAGTCCGTCCGTCTGCTTGGGTTGTGTGTGTTTGGGTCTGAACTTGTCTGCACATGACAGCCGTCAGCTATAACTAACAAATGAGCTTTTAAGCGCACTACTAATTACCTCCGATTCTATCTGGCTATAAATAAATTCTGATCGGATCATCCAACTATGCTAATTGCCCCATCCCCATCCCCGAACCGATGCTGCTGTGGGAAACTCTGGCTCTGGCTCCCTCCGCTCCATTAATCATTTCGGGAAGCGCCCGTGTCCAGACCCCAAAATAACCGCAATCTCGTACAATATTTCACTCGTGCATGAGGAAGTCAAGTCAAGTGCCGATGAGTCGTCAAATGAATTGATTCGAATCGAACAAGAACAAACGACGAACACACAAAATAAAAAGTCGACAAAAACGTAATTGCAGCTGCTGCTGCTGCTGCTTCTGGACGGGGTGAAAAGTGAAATGATTTCATAAATGACTGATATAATTAGGCACGTTATATGCCAATTAGCGGCGTGTTGAGGAAGCAACCTCTGAGAATCTCCGCCGACTTTCACAGTTGACAAACACATATGTACATGCCGCACCGTTAACTGCTGTTGCCTCTAATTAGCTAATTGTGCCCAAACTGCACTCCAAGTCCAAGTGCATGCCAAAGTTCCTGTCCGATTTGCATTATTCAGTATTTTTTATCCATATATTCTCACGATCCGACCTTGACAGTGCCCCCCAAAGCGCGGCAGCGAGCAACGGAGCAACGCAAACGCATGCCGAGGAAGAAAACTCTTGGAACTGGTTTCTCCTTCTCGTTTTCCATTAGGCGTGCCACGGGCGGCTCGCGAGAGCCCGCGAAGGCGCGAATGTGCGTGTGCAATAGGCCGTTAAACTGCCTCCGCCACAGTTAACGGGCTGTGCACACCCCCTGCCCCTGCGTTGGGCTGGCCATTACTTTGACAAACTGACAGAGTTGTTGGCGTTGATGTTGTATTCCAATCCGATTAATATTCATTCAAACAGGTTGAAAAAACACACAGGGTATGCATATACGCATGATTGTAGTGTCGAAAAACATTTAAGAGGGGGAAATTGTTGATGACAACAATTTGCGTAGGCATTCATCAGCTCAGTAGTTTTAGCTGCACTTCCGTGACATATTTTATAGCATAACCAATTTGTCCCACATATAACAGCCGAGCCTGACATTTTATCTGTTGTATGTATTTGTACATAAATACATATCATACTTGTATACAAATAAACAAATATTATAGGATAATTAAATATGCAATTATAATTAAATAAATTACTGTGTCTCCATTTTGCACCCGACTTATATTGCAAAGAAGTTTGAAAGGTTAAACTTATTTCTGATCATCATACTCAATGTTATATAGAAATGCAATAAAAGCAATTATTTAAATTAAGCCAATCAAGTAGAAAATTTATTCATCAATCGTATAAATTTATGTGGGCATGGCTAAATGTTCTATATAGCGGAGAATATTCGACGGAAGATCAAAATTGAGGAATTCGTCGTATTTTTTGAATCGGTAATGGCCCGGTTGACAACATTTAAATCCTTGTCGTTCACATTCAAAAAATGTATATTTGGCGCGCACCACTCGATAGTATCGATAACCTAACTTGAATCGGGTAAAGACCTCTTTTACCCGGTTGACAACAATGAGACTCATTCCATACTTTTAAATGAAGTACTTAAATTACTGTACTTGGATATCGAATTAGGGTGAATATGCCCAATTATTGGGGCATGGCAAATGTTTCTATCTAGCTAATGATATTCCACAGAAGATCAAAAACGAGGAATATATAAAATAGAACTTGAATTCGTCAGTATATCTACGGTATATTTTTTAAATAAGACGGTATGTTTCGGTATATTTCTGACGGTCGGTTACGATGTTTTCGATGTTTTTATTAGAGATCATTTTAATTGGAGATAATTTCACTTTCAATAGCTCATAACTTTCGTTCAGCAACATGAAAAAAGTCAATTCCCTAGATTATATCTTAAAACAAGTCCTGATTTTTGTTTAGAAACATTAACTGGTCTACGACGATCAGAAATAATTTGACCGGCCTTGCTGAACATTCGCACAGACTCGCAGGACGTGGCCGGGACGCACAGATCATTTCAACCTATATATTTAAAAGAGTGTTTTAACAACGAAAATTAAATAGCTCAACCAAGTGCGTAACTTTCGTGCTTTAGTTGGTTTTTAGTTTTTTCTTTCATAGAGACGTGACAAGCATAAAACTAAACATCGATGTTTCGCCAATCGATGTTTACAAAAACTGAAAAAAACATCGATGAATCATGTTTTTCCACCTCTATCTAGCCGGCGCATCAAAGAATTTTCGCAAGAAAATATTTACTTAAATTTTTGGAATAGTACCCGAAGAAATTAGAGGCCAACGAATGCAGAAATGACCCAGATCATAAACACAAGTTGTCTCCTGGGGCTGTTTGTCGTCTTTCTGGCATCGGATATTTTGTGTAACGAGAATGGAGACTACATGAAGCGGGACCATAGTCTGGTGCGTCCATTTCAAGGTATGTCGTTTAATTGTGATGCGGTTTACGTGTACCTCGAACGTAGCTGCAACTGGATTGATACAATCATTCAATTCAAGGTGTTGGCGTCATCCTACCCCACTGGGACTTCATGGGCAACACAATGGTGACCAGCAACTACATAAGACTGACGCCGGACTTGCAGTCAAAGAGCGGCGCACTTTGGAACTACAATGTAAGTGTTCCTGTGCTGGTGTTATCAAAGTTTTTTGTACGATGGTTTAATCTATCTTGCCCCTCTTAAGCCCATCATGTCACGCAACTGGGAGATACATGTGGGCTTCAAGGTTCACGGAAAAGGCACTGAACTCTTTGGCGATGGCTTTGCAGTTTGGTATACGAAGGAGCGCATGCAGACGGGCCCTGTCTTTGGCAGTAAGGACTACTTCAACGGACTGGCCATCATTTTGGATACCTACAGCAATCACAACGGTCCCCACAATGTACGAAAAACCATACGATTTCCTTGTGTCATGACTAAGCGCTCGACTGTATGTATTTTTAGCACCAACATCCGTACTTGAGTGCAATGGTGAATAACGGCAGCTGGAGCTACGACCACGATCGCGATGGCACGCACACGCAGCTGTCAGGCTGTGAGGTGAGGTTCCGCAATGTGGAATACGAGACACTCATTAGCATACGCTACGAGAACGATATCTTATCCGTATCGACGGATTTGGAGAATCGAAACGAGTGGAAGAGCTGCTTCGTGGTGGCGAACGTAGAGCTGCCTACGGGCTACTACTTGGGCTTGTCGGCAACGACAGGCGACTTGTCCGATAACCACGACATCCACAGCTTTAAGTTTTACGACGTTGATAACGACGTTTCGGTATGTATCCTTGGGGATTAATCAACATAAATCCTTAAACTGTTTGTTCCTTCGCACAGCATGACGAAATTATGCGACGAACCAATATCGTACCAAATGCAAAAAGCTTTGAACCACCCCGTGAGCACAAAGATGACCCCAAGCCGGGCATGTCGAATGCCAAAATATTCTTCATAATTCTGTTCGTTGTGGTTGTTGCGGCTTTGGTGGCCATTTTTGCTATCTCCTACTTCAAGGATCGCAATGCGCGTAAGCGTTTCTATTGAGGGATGATGGATGCCGGCCCGGACGCCTCAAAGCTAGTCGTATCTATCATCAAAGCATCTTGTTACGAGAGTATCGTATCTACGAGACTCAATTGACAAAACCAAGTTTATTTATACCGACTGTATCACGCATACTTATTCCTTAGGTTTTCCCATTTTATCCTCCTCCCGTTTTTCCTTTTTCCTTGAGTGGTTAGAAGAGTATATTACACGTGTTAAAGAGTGCGTTAAATTTAAGTGCAAATTTTTAATCTGAACTATAGGAAAATTGAGACCGTGTTACAGCATAGACAAAAGATAAAAAGCCACCAGAAAAATGTGTGTGTGCGTGTTGCTTCTCAATCAATCTCTCGATTCCTACACTCGATGCTCCTGCTGGCGACTACTGGCAGTGGGATGTGGTCGTCCTCCGGCCAACATGGACTCGATCTGCCTCACCTGATTGCTGACAAATCGATCGCGGGCGCTTCCCTCCTGTCCCAGTCCCTGTCCCTGCGCAGATGAGGGTTCACTCTCGGACTCAAGGGCATCGCTGGATTTGTGCATGCCACTGAGGATGCATTGCTCGAACAGCGACTTGGACTGACCATCATCGTCGTCCAAGGAATCATCCGAGCTATAGTTCAGCTTGCTGCCATCATCCACGGTCTGTCTCCGCTGGCCATTTGTCTTGGACAGAGTGCTGGTACTGGTGTTGGCATGACTGGAACTGGTGCTGGCACTGGCCCCGCTTGGTTGTGGTCGGCAGCTACCTGCCGCTATTGCCTATGAAATGGTGGAGAAGCGTTCAGCAATCCCCATCGTTGATGCAAGCTTTAAATTACTTACCTGACTCAACAGATTGCAGTCGTCATCCGAGTCCATGGAGAGAGAGGACAGCGAGTCGTTTCTCTTCGGCGGCAGACGCGGCTCCACTTCTGCTTGCGAGGCATTGCGTCTGGGCGGCAGCTTGGGTGCCTCTTCGGAGAGGAGCATGGGAAGTTGAGAGACTGGACCTGCTCGAGTGGAGCCTACAGTCAGATGGGATAGTCCAGAAATTACCGAGAAGGTGCATGGGCTGTCCTCCACGTAGTATTTGCTCATCTCGTCGGTAACTGGCAAATAGCTTGGCAGCGAGCTGCCGCCGCAACGCATCTTGGAGATGGCATCCTCTGTGGTTGTGTGCTCTGTGCCCAAAACTGGCACGCGTGGAGGCGGTACTCGCTCCTCGTTGGCATTCAAATCGTTGGGTATGGACAGAATCGACAGATCACTGTTGCTGGGCGCCTTGGAGAGCAGGGCAGGTGTGTCCTCCGTGCAGTAGCTGCGTGGGGCGTCTCCATTTCCATTGATGTCGTTTCCACGCCTTTCACGATTGCCGTTGGCATTTGAATCATCCAGAATGCTCAGGTTGCTGAGGCTGGTGGCACAGGAGAAGACGGCGGGCGTGTGTTCTATGTGGAATCTGTTCAGTTTGTCCTCGAACACATTGCCAGCTTTCCTTGGGGTCGTCGTCGTCGTCTCAATCTGATTCTGTCCGTTCGGGAGATTGGGCATCTTACGGTCGCGTCGCGGCGACTGTGGCATACTCTGGGTGGGGGAATCGGGCAACTCTGAAGGCGATATAACACCGCTCTGCATTCGGCTGTATTCGCTGATGACGGATCCATTATCGTCGCAAGCAATCGTCTCATCACCGCCCACCAGCGAGTCCATCGAACTGCGTCGCGAGAACATCAAGGGTGTCTCCAGCGCCGAGTCGATGTTTTGCGGCGTATTGCTGTGCAGCGCCAGAGCTCCAGGCGGCTGTTGTGGCTTTGTGGGCGTTTTGGGTGCCATTGGGTGAGATTTATCAGTCTTCTCTGTCAGACTGTTGAGGGAATCAAAGCGACTGAAAGTGCCCGGTGTTCCCTCCTCGCAATAGTTGATCGGATGCTCTCCCTGTGTCTCTGTTCCAATTTTCTGCTTCGTTGCGGAAAGTGGAACCCCCTCCGATGTGGAGTCTGATTTGGACAGCGGCAACGCATCGCTAATAATCTCATTTGTCTCTGTTTTCAGCTGTGGCTGTGCGGTGGTGCCTAATGGTATGGATCGTCGCTCTTTGTAGCGTGCACTAAAGTCCGTGGGCTGATCCAAGTCGATCTCGAAAGTCTTGGTGTCCGGCTTATGCTCCATGTACTTCATGGAGTAGTCAATGGGTTGCTCCTCCGTGGGCGTTACAATCTCAAAGGGGTTCTTCGCCCCGCCCTCGGACTTGCTTGAGTATTTTGTGGAATCGGATTTTCCCGAATAAATGGATTCCCGACTGCCGCCGCATTTTCTGGTCAAAAATTCACCCTTGCCAACGCCGACACCGACTGTGGAAGGTCGAACTTTCTTCAGCGATCCCGTGGGATTGGAACTAAGACGCAGTGAGCTATACCGTCGGGGCAGGGTTCCCGCATGTCCTGGATCGTTGTCCAGGGAAAGGGAATCACCGTTGGGTATCAGTTCTAGAGCGGCCCTAAAGTTGACCAGATTCTTCAGAGCCGAGGCACTGCCCTCGGCAATCATGGAATTCTTGGAGGCGATCAGGGCACGTAGCAGCGGAATGGCATTGTGATCGATTAGAAACTGTTGGTCCTCGGGACAGCGGGCCGACAGGTTCCACAGTGTGCCACAAGAGTTGCTTACCACGGTCAGACTCTCTGACTTTAGCTGCTGCAGTAGGATGGACAGGCCGTTGTGCCTTCGTAGAATCTCACGATACGATTCACATACGGCGATGTGACTCGAGACGTTGCGCAAGATACCGCCAGCATTCTCGATGATCTTGAGTGTCTTGCTGGGCCCCTCGTAGCTGAGCATGCTCACTAGAAAGGCTAGTGCTCCGTCAACAGCACAGAACTCCGCCTTGTTGGTGCTGCAGTGAGCCGAGAGATTCCACAGAGCCGACAGCACCGCCTTCAGTGTGTTTTCGCTCTTGTTCTGCATGGCTGCCCGGGCCAGGGCCGTCACCGTGCCCAGCTCATTGAAGATGGTCTTCATATGCTTGTCGGCGCGCCACGACAGATTGCGCAAAACGCCAGCCAGGACCTGCCATATCGAATGTGTTTAAAATGGCTCAGAAAAATTACAAATATGTTTCTTACCTGAAGCAGATCATCGGGAGCCGTGTTTAGCTGGGCAATTACTACCTCCATAAATTGACGCTGGCCGCATAGGTAGGACTTGTTGTGGACGTTTTCATCTCCAAATGTGAGATTTGTCAGAGCCATGAGTCCATAGCTCCTCAACGCATTACACTGCTCGCGTCCCGCTGCCGGCCCGTGGACTGCATGATCGAGATGCACCAGATTCGGAATCGCCTTTAGGGCGCCAAGCTCGCACATGGTCTGGCGATGCTCCTCATCGAAGCTGGCCTTCATCAGCAGTTTCATGGCAGCCAGGGGATGGCGATCCTCGTCATCGGCTATGGCCTCGCCACCGCTCTGCAGTTGAGTGCGCAGAAAGTTGCAATAGTCCAGGATCTGGTCGAGCAGCCGCAGCATCTTAACCTCCCGCTGGCGCTCCTTTTCCTCAGGATTGCTGTGGACGATGTTGTGCAGCGCTTGACTGGCATATTTTCGGGCTGTGGCCAGGCCCTCGTCATTGGCGTGCAAGATCTGCACCAGTATTTGAATGCAATCGGAGCTGCGCAGATCGGTGCAGGTCTCCACATTTCGGGAAAGCTCCAAAAAGTTCCGCGTCAGTTCCAATCGCGTAGCGTCACTCTCGTTTAGCGTCATGGCTTCAAATACCTACTACCTTGATTTTAAAAGGCACTGTGACTGGCGGGCAGAGCATGTGGAATTCTTATTCCAAGAAGATCCTTACTTTATTGTCGCACCTGCAGGTAGAGATCACTGTCACCAGTTGATCCTTAATTTGTATCCTTCCTTTCTAGCCATTTTCTAAGCGCACGATCGAAATAAAGTATCGATACTTTTCACTACGATACGATCAATTTTCATCGGCTGAAAATTTCTTTCGTTGCGCGCCTAATACTGTGTGTTTTAATACAGTAAATTAGGAAAATAAAACGTCAGATTTTACCTCCAATTTGGAATTGATATATATTTAAATAACTTGTCATAGATATTAGAGTATAATTTATGTGTGGTTTTTACTGTAAAATCCAGGACAGAAACATCGCACGCGCATTGACCATCGCTAGCCAGCTGTTACGTCACGCCAAACAGCTGTTGGACGCAGATTCGACCGAAAAATAATGAACTTCCTAAAAAAGGTGAGTTAAACCATAACACAAAATGATTTGTAATGCAATTAAACTCTGTCTTGTCTCTGATGCAGTTGGCGCCACAAATGGCGCTGGCCGAGTCGCAGCTCCACAAATCGGCGGCCCTGCACACCAGTGCCGTGTGTTGTCGCGTGCAGTCGGGCCGCTACCGCATAACCACAAAGCGGAATAGGCCGCTCACCTACGAAATGGCCAATCCACCGCATTTCATTGGACACCGCAAGTCCTGGAACTCGTGGAACACATGTAAGTTCGAGGGCAGTTTATTGTCGATGTTTTATTCACAAAAATGATACCCCACCCTCTTAAAGCGACCCTGAAGGACTCCCAGCGTCCGTCGCAAACGGCCATCGAGGATTTGTTCATAAGGAAGTTCATCACCGGCACTTGGCATGCGCTAGTCTGCTCCGAGATCATTATAAAGCGCCAACACAACACAATACGCGTCGCTTCGATCATCCGCCAGGGCATCAGTCCACGCAAAATGTATTTTCTTATTGGTTACACGGAGGAGCTGCTCTCCTACTGGATGCAATGCCCTGTCACGCTGGAGCTGCAAACGGTGGCCGACAAGAAGGACGTGGTCTTCAAATACATTTAGTTGCTAACGCTCTTTACTCGGGTCCTAAATAAACATTTTGTAGAATTACTTAATGCGTGTAGTCGACTTCGCTATTGTTTATCTGCAGCGATTTGATGGCCTTGTTAACTATGACACCATCGGGATCCTCCACCTGAAAGACAGAAAAGAAAGAAAGAAAGTCCGACGTTTATTACATGCGATTTGGCAGCGGCTGTTACCGCCTTACCGTTTCTATCAGTCTTTTGACCTCTGCAAGGGAGCTTTGCTTGAGAATCAGGTACCTTATGTCCTTGACTAGCTCCACAAAGAGGAACACAACAATTTTGCGCGAGCCCCCGCACACCTTGTCCCAGATCTTGACCAGCACCGTCTCACATATGACGCCGGCAAAGCAGGTGATAAGCCAGTTGTCCAGGAGTACCGAAGTGCTGTCGAATAGACCCAGCTGTTCCAAGCGGCTAAGATGACGAAATCAAAAATGAATGCCACATAGAAGAAACTGTAAAATTCACATACTTGAACAGTGAGAGGTCCTCGCGCTTGAGCAGGATTTGGATCTGCTCCTTTAGTTTGGGGCATTCCTTTTTCAGCTCGCGCGTGTAGTTGTAGAACCCTTTTGCTATCCAATAGGTCTCCACATCGTTGGTGAAAATTTGCAGCAGAGTCCTCACGATTTCAATGAAATGCATGTCATCCGCCTGCATAGTGGCATTCGCATTGCCCCCGTGCCACAATCGATTCGATTCCAGCAGCCACATTGTGTGCATCACCAGCTCCTTCTTTTGGTCCACACACCGCAGCACGGACACAGCCCGCAGCAGATCCTGATACACATCCCGACGTTGATCGCGAACAAAGTCCGTGGATGTCTTGTGAAGCGGTAATATGCCCATGACAAGAGACCAAAGATGGTTTCGGTGGACATTCGGAACAGTGTAGTTCATACAGAATTGCTTCAATTTGTTCAAATTGCGTATGTCATCCTCAAGCAACTTGTTGATCGACTTGTTCTCCTCGACGCTGTTGATCAAGCATTTCTCATAATAACTTGATCGAAAATTGCGCTCGTCGGTGTTCATTGTCCATGGATTTTGTCAACAAACCGAGACGGAGAGGAAGAAGGCTGTGTGCAGTGCTGCCAACTTTTTATCAGAAAAAAGCTGTCTCTAACTTGAAGAAAAAAAAAAGCTGAATAAAAAGCGTAAATAATGGTGTTAACAATTTTGTATTAAAGTGATATTTAATATGTATTTTATATAATTTTCATTAACTCATCCAGCTCTGATTCGCATTCGTACGACATGGTCCATACTGTATATTTAAATATAAGCTAGCAATATCTTTTCACTGACAATAAAACTTTATTCTATTTTTCTTAACTCACACGATTTTTTTGACTGAAAAGGCTGATGAACCGGCCACATGTTCTTAATTTTTATGTAACCGGTGGCAAAATCACAAAAAATGCTGAACAAATCTAAACACATTTATAAAAAGTACGGAATTCCCGCAATTCACAAATTTTTCCTTTAATTCGTCTTCAAAAAAAGCCAGATCTGATGGGAAAACAGCGTAATCGGCAGCACTGACGGTGTGTGTGAGTGTGTGCACCATCGATAGGGGGACTGGAAATTGGTTGAATTCTATCGATAGTCCAATCAATAGTATTGTTTGCCACCACTAGTACATACAGGATACAAAACAGGTTGACCGTTTACGGTATTTTTAATACTTTTCGGTAGAAAATTGATTCATTAATCGTATAAAACTATGTGGGCAGGGCTGAGCTATATAGATAGCTAGTAATATTCCACGGAATATCAAAATTGAGCCATATGAACGACTATAATTTTTCGTTTTTTTTTTATTTGCCCATTTTCGATAAAACCTTTTTTTACGCAAAGTCCAATAAAAGCAAGTATTAAGAATAAGCCAGTTCAGTAGAAAATTGATTCATCAATTGTAAAAAAATATGTGGGCAGGACTGAGAGATCTATCTAGATGGTAATTTTCCACGGAATATCAAAATCGAGGAATACGTAATATAGATCGTGAATTCGTCAATATATTTACGGTATATTTTTAAAATGAAATGGTACATTTTGGTATATTTCTGAGGGTCGAACGGTTGTTTTAACGATACGATAAATCCGCGGTCACACTGCTGCAAAATGCCTCAATATCTGAAAAGGTAAACAAAATGTACAATTCGGGCAAAAGAAAAGTCAATTTGTGTTGATGCGAAGGCTGGAGAGTGCAACTTTCAAATTTGATCCACAAGAGCTGTGTGCGGCCACCACTTGCCAAGATATCTCTATGTTCTCGGTGGCGAGGCTGTTGCTCGACGCGAGCCAGAAACTGAAAATCAATAATTCAATCAGAAAATCAAAACACGGATTTGCCCAGATGCAAGCACACGCTCGCGATAAATTATGCAATTGTTGCAGCCACTAACACTTCTTCTTTCACGCCTTTTCACGCCCCCCTGCAGTTGATATATTCAAATGTTGGGCTCGTTTTCTGCTGCTTCTCTTGCTGCCATTACTGCTGCCGTGCACGACGACGTTGTTGTAATTGGGTGTCGCAATGGAACAGGAAATCGGCACCTGGGACTCGGTGCTGCTCGAGAATCTGTCCGAGGATAGTTTTATAAACAACATCCACCAGCGCTATAAGCGCGATCATATATATGTAAGCATACATGTGTACATGATTTGTGTGCCATTTATATAGTATTTAATTGTCCCTTTTAGACCTACATTGGAACTTCTGTTGTGGCTCTGAATCCATATCATCACATATCCGAGCACTCGCTGGACAATGTCCGCAACTATGGCGACAAGGGCATCTTCCAGCTGCCTCCCCACATGTAAGTAGCGGATTGAAATCCATGCCCCATGCCACAGCTTCATTCTCTTCCGTGGTTTCCTTTCAGCTACGGCCTCACCAACCTGGCCTACCAATCCCTCAAGGATCACAGCGAGGACCAGTGCGTGCTGCTCACGGGGGAGAGCGGTGCGGGAAAAACAGAGACATTTAAAATGATTGTCAACTTTCTGACTCACATACAGGATCGCCCGCTCTGCCACACTCCGAACATCTTGCGCAAGCAATCTTCCACCAGCTCGGCCAGCGGAGTGGCAGTTCACGCCCACAGGCGAGCCTCGAGCAGCTGTTCTGGCACTGCCAACTTTATTATTTGCAAGAACAGGGCCGAGAACACTCCGGCGGCGGCCATGGCACGTCGCCAGTCTCCGTCCCCTGGACCATCGCAGCGCTCGAGGACGCGTGACGAGAGCATTGAACGCCAGAGCAGGCGGAATATGCGTGAGAAGATCGTGGACTTTGATTTCTCACACCATAAGAGCAGCGAAAACATCAGCACACTAATCGAAGCGCATGCCGCCTCCTCACATCACTTGCATCCAACCAAGTCGTGCTTCAAGCACCAGCAGACTCAAGCCTGCATCGCCACTGCCACACCGCCCCAAAAGGGGGCAACCAGCAACACATCGCCCAAGTATGCCATGCTCTCGTATGGCGGCTGTCGCCAGTGCGGCCACAGCAAATGCATACGCGCCCAGAGCCTAGAGAAGGAGGAATGCGGCGCCGGGACCGAGTCGCCGATGCTGCTGCTGCGCGGCAGCAACAGTCGCCTATCATCCACCACCACCGCCCACCAAAGCAATCTGAATCGCGGTAGCTGCTCGAATCTGGTGCGCCAGCACTCCACTGAGAGTCAGCCAGAACGGGATCGGGATCGGCACTCTCTGATGGGTTCCACGCAACGTATATCGCTGTACGATGCACACAAGCTAAGCAAAGTGCTTGGCGAGTTGCCGCCACCACCGCCGCCGCATCCTAGCTCGGTTTCCGTCTCGGTGTCGCCTACGCCTTCGGCCAGCTCCTCTCTGCATCGACGCCACAAATCGCCTACACAACGACTGCGAGAATGCGTTACCTGTGCGGATGTCTTTCTCGAGGCCATGGGCAATGCCTGTACGCTGAAAAACAACAACTCCAGCCGATATGTAGGTGTCCCATGAATGATACCATGTGATCTTAAAAACTAAATGATTGTCTGGCTTTCAGGGAAAACTGTTTGATATTGAAATCGATTTTAGGGGCGATCCGATGGGAGTGCACATAACCCACTGTAAGTAGAGCCCCCTGATAGGTCCCCTATACGAGTATATATATAAATCCATGATCTATTTCGTTATTATCTCCATGCTTGCCCAAAAAGATATGCTGGAAAAGGTTTGCTCTTAGCCACGAAGCACTTTTTGATTTGAGTGTAAGATTTTTTGCTAATATTTCTCTCCCTCCCTTCCGCAGACTCGCATTACGGACACCATCATTGGCGAGCGAAACTTTCACATATTTTACCAATTACTATTGGGGGCTGATCTCCAGTTGCTGAGTAAATGATTCACCCTACCTTTGCTTGTGCCTAATTCTAATAAATTGGAATCCTTTTAGAATCGCTCAAGCTGTATCGAAATGTGGAAAAGTATGAGCTGCTGCGCAACACAACTGCCATGGAGGAGGATCGCTTAAACTTTCATTATACCAAGGTCAGTCCTCGGTCCTAGACTTTGAAGGTGTATAAACCTTTCTACGATCTGTTATTTTTTAGCGTTCTCTGGACGTACTGGGGCTTAGCTGTGATGAAACGAGCTCCATTTTTCGTGTCATTGCTGTGGTTCTGAAGCTGGGCAACTTTATCTTTGTGCCCGTGACCAATATCGATGGCACCGAGGGCTGTCAGGTGTCCAATGTGTATGGTAAGATGTGGAGTATCAGATATCCAATAGAAAAGTATAATTTTCGAAAACCCTTTCTCCTTGCAGAGGTTCAAGAAACCGCTCAGCTGCTTAATCTGGAGGCTCAAGTGTTGATCAACTGCCTGACGCGTGCAAACAGTACGAACAGCAGTCAGGAGGATGTGGGGTCCGAAATGGATGCCCGGCAGGCGGCCAACAATCGGAATACACTTTGCCGCACTCTCTATAGTCGTCTGTTCACGTGGCTGGTGAACAAAATCAATGAGACACTGAAGTCGACGCAGCGCGAGAAGAACCTGGCCCTGCTCGACTTCTATGGCTTCGAGGTGCTCGATCACAATTCATTTGAGCAGTTTGCCATCAACTACAGTGCAGAAAAGATCCATCAGGCAAGTAGAAATTAATAGCCAAGAGATTTTCTCCTGTTTTAATTATTCTGATGTGGCAGAACTTTTTGTTCCATTTGCTGCGCTCTGAGCAAGAGCTGTACATACGGGAGGGATTGGAATGGTCGCGGATTGATTACTTTGACAACGAGTCCATTTGCGAGCTAATTGACAAGCCAAGCTATGGCATCCTCAGCCTGATCAACGAGGCCCATTTGAGCAGTAATGAGGCTCTGCTTTTGCGTGTCCAACAATGCTGTGCCGGGCATCCAAATTTCATGACTAGCGGCAGTAATTCCATGTGTTTTCAGTGGGTATTTCCATCTATCCAATGAATGAATGTATGTATTAATGATTGCACTTGCAGGATCCGGCACTTTGCCAACGTTGTTAACTACTCGATACATCGCTTCCTGGAGAAAAACTCCGACGTGCTGCCAAAGTATATAAGTGCTGCGTGCTATCAAAGCAAACTGTCGCTGGTGCAGAGCCTTTTCCCCGAGGGCAATCCGCGCAGACAGACGAGCAAAAAGCCTAGCACTCTCAGCTCTAACATACGCACCCAGCTGCAAACGCTGCTGGCGATTGTAAAGCATCGTCGCTCCCATTATGTGTTCTGCATCAAGCCCAACGAGGGCAAGCAGCCGCATCAGTTCGATCTAGCTCTGGTGCAGCATCAGGTGCGCTACATGTCGCTGATGCCGCTGGTTCATCTCTGTCGCACGGGCCACTGCTACCACCTGCTGCACGTTAAGTTCTTTCATCGCTACAAGCTGCTCAATAGCCTCACATGGCCGCATTTCCATGGCGGCAGCCAGGTGGAAGGCATTGCCCTGATCATACGCAATCTGCCGCTGCCATCGGCAGAGTTCACCATCGGCACCAAGAATGTGTTTGTGCGGAGTC